GGTCAGTACACACCTAGATGTGACCATGGGGTCAGTACACACCTAGATGTGACCATGGCGTCTTCCTTCCCTATAGATTAGTAACCTCCTAATGGGCAAGAACTAGAGAAGACTTTATATGACCCCATAAAACCTTGTCTGGGGAATGCATGTCTGTTAGTTTTCTCCTTAGCCTTAAAGTGGGCCCGGGTGAGCAGCGAGGTCAAAAGGCATCAGGTACAGGACTGGGCCTGGACTCCTACACAGTGGAGCCAGGCTCCCCTCTGTCAGCCACTGAATAAGACAGAGAAAGCAGCTTAATGTCTTTGCATCTTGGTATTTATTTTTATTTTATGTGTGTATGTGCACATAGGTGCATACGTGTGTGCATGCAGGTATATGTATATACAGGTGCACATGTGTGCACTTGCTTGCAGAGGGCACTTGCTTGCAGAGGCCATGGACTGACCTTGGGTATCATTTCTCAGGAGCTGTCCATCTGGTTTTCTTTTGAGACAGGATTTCACATTGGCACTTGGCTTACTGATTAGGTGAGACTTGCTGACCATTGAGCTCCAGGGCCCCACTTCCCCAGCACTGGAATTACAAACACACGCCACCATGCCTGGCTTTTTATGTGGGTCCTGGGGATTGAACTCAGGTCTTCATGCTTCACAGTGAGCACTTTAACAATGAACCACCTTCCCAGCATATGTTTTACTTTGTCTTTAAATGGGCAAGCATACCTATCCTAACAACCATCGTAACAGTGAGAGCATGCTGGGAATGCCCTCAGCCTGTGCCCGGGTCTACTGGGACTCAGTAAACAGTTGATACAGCGCGGCTATCTCTGTGAATCGATGTCGCCTCACTGGTGTGTACAAGCTTCCCTTTGTCACCGTGCCTTGTAGCTTTGGGAGTTGGCTGAGTCAGTACCTGGGTTTGCAATGAAGCAAGGGTGAGTGCTATGATCTAGGGGGGCAGAAGAGGCCTCCTGAGTTGTGTCTTTTCTTCTTCCAGTATATCTGACTAAAAGCAAGTGGATCTGCAAGCAGTAAGAGACAGCGCCTGGGACCCAGTCCCCAGCTCCCACTCACATCTTGTTCCGCTTCTCATCATAGGACAGGATCTTGGTCACATCCCAGTCCCCAGAGGTGATGGACTGGATGTTGTCATTGCTGCTGTTGGGCTGAAATACAGACAAGACGTTAGGAAGAAGATGCTGGGCTACAGCTTTGGTGCCTCATTCTGGAGCCTGTCAGGATGAGGCCATAGCCAACCCCTTCCTACTTCTCTTTTGTGTGGCGTGGCTTGAATTCAGCATCGTCTGTGATGGACTCTGATGCCCACTCCCTGGTCTGAGTGTCACTGATGGGAGTATCATTTGGTCCCTCTGCGGGGCTTGTCCCTGGTACCACATCCCACGTTCTATAGATGCACACATAAGACCAATGTACTTGTGAATTAATGTTTATGTTAGGGCCCAAGACGGAGGAAAGAGAGTGTAAGGTAAAGGATGAAACAAGGCAAAATCAGGGAGGATCTGGGAGGGATGAACTCAGTGTAGTTCTTCGGTTCATCTCTGTCATTCTTGCTGGGCTCCAGCTGCCACAGGGACTGACTGACTCCCGCTCAGACTCCCGCTCAGCTAGCGGACTTCTTGTGTCTCCCAGAGCTCTGCACACTAGTCACTCAGACCTGCCATCATGGTACCAGGTGCAGGCAGCATTCAAATTATCAGCTGGGATGCTGAGGTGCAGCTGTACTGAATGGTATGTACTCTGGGGAGCCAGTGTGGTGGGGCCAACACTTGGAGCTGCAGACCGTGTGTGTGTGTGTGTGTGTGTGTGTGTGTGTGCGTGTGTGTGTGTGTCTGTGGATTCAGGAAAACAGTGCAGCCTCAGGCAGTCCTCAGCTTGCAAGCAGAGGTCAGGGCAAGAGTGGGTGCCTAGAGCAAGGGGGAACCACTTTCTGCTGGATGCTAAGGAATTCTCAGCAACTTCTGATCATCTACAAGAATTTAGAAACTGGGATTGAATGCAAGCATCATAATTTTTTAAAATCTTTCTTAAAATGGCCCCAGTGAGAATGTGAACAAATCAAATCAGGTTTTGGACTTCCTGTAAGTCATGTAATTAAGTGACTAGAAAACAGAAATGCCTGCCTAAGCCAGAAGTAGTCATAATTCCTACCCAAGACATTTCGGGATCCTTCTTTCCTCCCTCCAAGATATTCCTTAAGGGGATTGTCCTGTGGTCTTTCTTCTGGGTCCACATGCACCTCCCACTTCCTATCCACAGTGTTTCCAAACAACCTTCTTCTTAATTCTATCTTATATACTTGCTCCCATTCTTCATCACTTTAATTAACTTCAAAATAAAATCTGCACACAGAGGATGGGGTTGGTGACACAAAGTGCCAAGTACATGCCCTTCCATCCCACCATCCATCAGGGCAGAGATCTCAAAACTCAGCATCCAGGCAGCTATTCCTGTGGTGACCGTGCTTGTAGGCAGACATTCCCAGATATCCACTTCCCTGCCCAGTGGCACTTACCCTAAGTCTCCTGACCAGAACAGGTGAGTGTGAGTGGCAGCTACAGTATCATTAAGGTCAGATATGCTTCTGGCTCATGGTAGCAGCAGTACTGGGGTTAGGGGGAGACTTATGAAGGACCTGGAACAGCAGCCTTGAGAGAAGGGGAGTGTCAAGATGGACAGACAGCTACTCAGTGGTCATCTTGGATCCTCATTGCTAGTCCCTGGATCCCTTTATTGTTGCTAGAAATGTCATATCCCGTCTTCATGGTCTTGACTCCAGCCACTGCCCTGCTCAGAGTCTCTGCATTTGGACAAATGGCATGCTGCCCTCACCCTTGGAACCCATCTGTGAAGTCAGCCTCCTGGGGCTCCTTCAGGTTCCGGGAAGGTGAGCGTGCTCACCAATAGCACAACAACACGTGAAGCAGTGGAGTTTACCTGGGACGAAGACACGGTGATGTGGTAGAACTTCCCCCGGCCCCCTTGTGGGATCGCTCTGACAAAGAAGAACTTGCGGCCATCCTTGGAGAACACAGGTTCTTCATTCTGTGGACAGAGGTGACCTGTCTGTCAACATAAGCCGATGGGAGCATGCAGAGCGTGCAGGAGGAGGGGCACCCTCAGGTATTTCAGGTGTGATTTCTAATGATGGAGGGAACTGAAAGGGGGGGGGTTCTGTGCGCGGTTTTCACTCTCTTTGGGACTAGAGAGTGGGTTTGGGTTTTCTAAAAGCCGAGGGAGAAAGGGGCACCCAAGTGCACAGAGCAGGGCTGGAGATGGCTCAGTTGGCAGAGCGTCTGCTGTACAAGCATGAGGACCTGGCTTCAGATCACCAGAACCACGTGAAAAGCAGGGAGCGGCAGCAAGAGTCTGAGACCCCAGTGCCGGGGAGCAAGGAGAAGTGGATCCCCACGTTTCCTGGCCAGTCAGCCTAATGTACTTGCTGAGCTCCTGGTTCAGAGTGGGATCCTATCTCCAAGATAAGGGGGAGAACATCTGGGGAAGACAGCTGACATCAGCCTCTGGTCTTCACACGCACACACACACGTGTATGTGTACTCATGTGCACACCTGTGTACACCTACACAAATATGTGCTTTTACCGCCCCCAACACACACACTTGCAAATCACATTCTGGGGCAGAGTCAGATAACACTGCTGCCCACCGCATGCAAAGATCAGTGAGGAAATGGGCTTGTGCACACATCGGGCACACCTTGTGAGTGTGAACTAGGCCCGAGGACACACACTGACTTCAGTCTTTGCTGTGAAGGCCCAAGCATGCAAAGCTGCTGTCCTGACTTTTGCCGTACACCAGCTCAAAGGCATTGGGAAGAACAGTCAGAGGCAGCGCTTTCCTCTCTTCTAGTCCTGCCTTCTTTTCCTTAATAAAGTCTCTCTCACACTGATTCACCCACTGAGGAGGCAGGCTCAACGGACCTATTGTATCTATTTTAATACAGCAGACAGAACCCTTTTGGGCCTGGCTCTCGCTAGAGACACCCTAAGAGGCAGGTGCTAGACAGTGCATCTGTCTGGACAACAGTCTCTTTGACTGTTGTTTGAAGTCAACCCTGGGGTCTGGACTACCTGAGGGATATCCTGCTACTGTGCTCTGTTCCGGCACCCCAAGCGTGAGCAGGCAGGTACTTGCAGCCCTTAGCCTGTCCTGCGGGGAGTGGCCATTGATGGGCAGAGGGAGATTTTGGCTCGGTAGCATCTCTTCTACATTCTGAAGCCAAAGTCTAGAGGTTTCCGTCAGTAAATGCCAACTAGCTGGCTCCTCCAATTACGGCTAAGGTGTATCTATATTGTGATTCAGGAAGCTGCCCGCTAATGCAAGGATGAGAACAAACAGTAAACAAAACGCAGCTGGCCCAGGAAAAACTCATTTCCCCACAGTGAAGAAACATATGCAAATACGATGTGCTCAGAGCAATGAACTAACATGTGATTAAAATGACATTTAATCTTCATGAATATTTGCAATAAAATGAAACCTTTAATCTGCAAATATTGATTTTTCTATTTAGAGCTGGGAGTGTGGTATTTAACAGGAGAGGGAGTGGGAAAGAACAGCCGTTAATTTGGCTTTTGAGATGAACTTCTGTTTGCCAACCATGGATGGACGAGGCAATAGCACCCTAGTTTTCTGGGGGACATGTTTGCACTTTGGACAAAGATTAAATGTGATATGATTAATTCTGGACAGAAGCATTGTACTCATATTGAAAAGGCCTCAGCTTCTGGGGTCATTGGCCCACTGCTCTCCAGAACCTTCCAGAATGTGCTGAGGAAGGCATCCGCCAGTCTTTGGAAACCTGCTCATGTAGTAAGCGTGTGTGTGTGTGGAGACTGGATGCCAATCTTGGCTGTTCTTCCTCAGGACGCCATCACTCTGTGTTCCGTGGCAGAGTCTCTCGCTGGCCTGGGGTGTGCTGATTTGGCTAGGCTGAATGGTCAGTGAATTCTAGGAATCCTCCTGTCTCCATCTTCCCAGTGTCGGGATTGCAAACGTGTCCCACAATGCCTTGTGCTTGTTTGTATAGATTCTGGGGGTTGAGATCGGCTCTTCATGCTCACATGACAAGCCCTTTACGGGCTGAGCTATCTCCTCAGTTCAGTAAATAAACTTTTAGTGACAAAGAGCAGGGCTTTTTTGATGTGGGCACCAGGATCCACCTCTCGTTTGATGTTGGGGGAGTCTGGTTTCCTGGCTCTGCTGCCTAACTGGCCCAACTCTCTCCACAGCCAACCTTCCAGGAGAACAGTCTCTGTGTGGCTTCTGCCAGGTTCTCCCACAGCTCCTGTCCTCTGACCTTCGAGCCCAAAGTTTGAAATCACAAAACCAAATATCTGACTAAATATGTAAGGCAGCCTAATACTCACCCCCTAGACCAGCTACAGCCAGGCTGCGGTTCAGAGTTCAATGCCCAAGTGTGCTGGAGCTGGAGGGCCCTCATGGATCTGCACCGGGGCCAACTTGCCAGTCTGGCAGCAGTGATGGGCATGCAGGTGGCCAGAAGAAATTTACTATTTCTCTAGCATATTCTTAGAGTGGAGGGCCCTTGCTAGAGGTATGCACACATATGCACCCCTTCTTTTTGACTTCTGGGGCTCTCTGTGGGGTCCATTGTGAGACTCCAGGAAGGAGATGGAGAGAAAAGAGCAGGCGATGAGGTCTGGGCATGCGGATGGCTATGGTCACCGAGGCCAGTAGCACTGCTGTGGGCCAACCATCCTGCTAGCAGCACAATGGGGAAACTTGTCAATTGGAGCAGACAGTACCCGCCTGGGTCGACAGGGTCTTCTGGGATGTGTGCGGCAAGCGGTTGTAATGCACAGAAGGTGGATGGACAGTGGAGTATGGCCTCAGTGGATCTCCCTAAGTCATGCCTGTGGCCTCTGGTAAGAAATGCTCATGATCCTGAAGGGGCGGCCAGTGGCTTCCTGGTAGCTGATGGCAGCTCAGCCTTACATAGGCTCCCATGATGCCCGGCAGCACCACAGCATTAAGGATGCAGAAGGTGCAGATCAATTCCAAAAGTAGTGTCCATGCATCCCTTTAGGGGAAAGTGATACATTGGGAAGCTATTTGAAATTTGGTTTCTCTAGTGCTTAAGTAGTGATGACCCACTTGTAGAGTCTCAGATCATGGTATGTGGGCAGTCAGCCCTACTGAGGCTTGTCATGGCAGTCCTGGCCAACTCGTAGGGTTCCAGACCATGGTGCGTAGATAGCCTCACCTGTCTTGTGTGAATGGATGAGTGGCCTCAGAGGTGAGTGTCCTTATAGGGAACATGGTGCTTTTAATAAAGCATTTAATAAAATGGGTGTTCACGGCACCGTGCCTTCTTTGGCTCTAGTTCCTCTCACATTTAATGTGATTGCTTCTTCAAATATCAGCTACTTGCTTGGTTAATTAAAAATTGACATTTTAAAACAGTAAAAAATAATTAATTTAATGCCACTGTTCCTCTGCATTCATGCTGCTGGTTCCCTGGGTGCTGTTCAGGGGCTCAACATTCACATCCAGGTCTGAGCTGGTGGCTTTCTTCCGCATGGTGAGATTTCAGTCAGAAAATATAGGAGAATCCAGCTGGTGTTGGTTCTGTGGCCACTCCACCATGCCAAAGAGGAAGACAGTGGAGGACAGCTGGAGGATCTGTCCCCAGACCCCCAGGACAGCGTGTCTGTGGAGGTCGAAAAATGCAGCCCTATTTCCTGCATTTGACTTGTCTGACAGTCAGAGAGTTTGGAAACTGTAGTTACAGTTCCAACTCAGGATGTGACAGCTCGGTTCTATTGAAGTTAAGATAGCGTCATGCCATCCTGACAGGTGGTCAGGATGTGCAGACACACTTCTGCTCCTTTTGTAACTATGAGGTCACCTGGGGAAGGGCGGTCTTCAGAACATGTGACCTAGAGCAGCTTTGTTACCTAGACAGCAGAATGCTGATGATTTGATGTCTCAGAGTGATAAAGCCATTGGCTGTGTGAATTATCCTATGTTAATAAAGTCTTTTGTAACCCCTCCCTCCCATTTACATTGGGTATAAAAGCTGTGGAAAAACAAATACAGGGGATTTCAGTTACTGGAATGTCTTCCTGGTACTTTCCATAGTTTCTGTCCTGTTATTTTTTATGCATCTTCACATTCTTTACTTATATTTCTAAAATTTCCATGGCCCTACCCTGGTAAGAGGTGATTTTGTCGAGGGCAGTCTATTAATGCAATGGAGTAATACTAGACCTTGATAAAGGGATCAACATCCTGGTACATTCCACATGCAACATATGCAGATGGAGAGTAAGCCGATTCATTTTTTATAGCTAAAATTCTTTAATTGACAAAATTATATTTATTGAATAAAAACATGATTTTGAAATACATATGCATTGAAGAATGACCAAATGGAGTTAATGAATGCATACATTATAACCTTCTAATTTCAAGCATAGTTGGAATCTACTAATAAATCTTACTTTCTTTAAATTTTTGTCTATGAGCCTGTATGAGTCTATGTGCACCATGGGCCTGCAGAAGCCCTTGGTGGCCAGAAGGGGGCATCAGATCCCATGGAACTGAAGTTACAGGTGGCTGGTGAGCTGCCATGTGGCTGCTGGGAATCAAACCTGGGTCCTCTGCAGGAGCAATGAGTGCTCTTAACCACTGAGCCATCCCTCCATCCCTGTGTAGATGTAAAGAATACAGCACATTAACGACTGAACCATGCTGTGCATTAGAATCTCCTGAGCTGACCTGTCCTGAAAACAAGCTGAAACCAACCAACATTCTCGCAGCATCACCCACTCCCAATAGCTGCTGATTCTGTCCTTCGAAGGAGAACAGCAGTCAACAGTGGTTAATCTGACTGCCAATTTTACTGGATTACGAACCACCCAGAACACTGGTGAGGTACAACTTGGGGTCTGTCTGTGAGTTGTTTCCCAACAGGATTAACTGCTGGAAGACTCTCTGTGGGTGACACCATCAGTGGTCTGAGTTCCCAGACTGAATAAAGGAGAGAGAAAGGAGGAAGCT